AAATATAATAGGCAGCTTTCAACCCTTCCACCCACCTCCCCTACTTCACCCACCAGAAAAGATAGCAGCAAAAGACCCAGAGACTCCTGGTCCCCGTTCTCGTTCAGGCAGTAACCAATCGCCTGGCCAACAGAGTCAAACTCCTAGAAAACAGGGATAGCATCAGCATCTGTCTGTTCCAAGGAAGCATTACAAGTGTTTTCTTAAAGCAATAACCTTATTTCAGAGCTAAAACCAAAATAATAATAATAATAGTTATTATTATTATAATTATTTTAAGTACCATAGGAATTCGATGTTGTGCTCAGGTTAAAGAGTATGGAAAAAATTGAATATGAATTCTAGAAAGCCATGGCCCCAGAGATGTAGAAACTGTACAGTTTAAATGCCTGTTAATCCAGGGCGCCTGGGTGGCTCAGTCACTTAAGTGACCCACTCTTGATTTCAGCTCAGGTCGGGATCTCAGGGTCATCGAGCCCCACGCTGGGCTCTGTGCTGGGTGTGGAGCCTGCTTAAGATTCTCTCTCTCTGCCCCTCCCCATCTACACCCCGTCCCGCTGGTACTTGTTGGCTCGCTCTCAAAAAAAAATAACTAAATAAAAATAAAAAAATGCCTATTACCCCCCCATCACACATCCGGGAAACGGCCATTTCAGCCCATGGTGTGGCACACGCAGGAAGTCACGCGCTCGGAAGGGATGACAGCGAGGGCCCAGAATGGTGGTACACAAAGCCTTCCCTACACACCAGGCTTAGCACTTCACACTCGGACTCATCTAATCCTCACCACAACCCGGGTGGTGGCCTTCCCCACGTGCCCTTCTGAACCCAGCAGCCCCCATGGTGCAAGCAACACCACCATCCACGGTGAGGAGAAAATACCCAAGGCCCAAGAGGGGGAGAGAAATTCAGGAAGTCTTACTTCAGGGGATCCCAACTGAGGAAAAGAAAAGGCCGATGTGCTACAGAAGGCCTAGAGAAAGAGCTCAGGTCATTAATCTGACAAGAATAATAGATGAAGTGACTGGCAAAGCACCAAGTGGCAGAATAAGGCAAGGGTTGACCTGCCTTCGCATGTCAAAGGCAGTTCACTGCTATTTTGACCCTCTTAGTGAGCAGTGATCATTTCTTTTTTTTTTTTTTTTAAAGATTTTATTTATTTATTTGAGACAGAGAGAATGAGAGACAGAGAGCATGAGAGGGAGGAGGGTCAGAGGGAGAAGCAGACTCCCTGCCGAGCAGGGAGCCCGATGCGGGACTCGATCCCGGGACTCCAGGATCATGACCTGAGCCGAAGGCAGTCGCTTAACCGACTGAGCCACCCAGGCGCCCGAGCAGTGATCATTTCATCACCAGAGAGAAAATCAGTCATATTTTTTTTTATCAGCTTAGAACAAGATTAATGACAAAGTAACTTCCAAGTTCCATAATTAATAAACATTAGCTTTTTATAACTCACACAAGCCCCTCAGAGCTGAACCCCTAGCAAGACTAATTTGAGGTACCTATGACCTGCCGGCGGTGCAGGGGAGGGTCAGCGCGAGCCTGTCGGTGGCAGTGAAAGCAGTAACAGCAGCGACAGTAAGAAGAGTAACACAAGAACCACAGAGGCTGTTGCCTGCACAACGTGCGCCAGCCACTGTTACCATCGCTGGGTGGGAAGAACCGCATTCGATGCCACAAGGAGAGATGAGGGGGAGATATCTGTATCCCTCTTTAAGGAAACAGAGTCTTACAGAAGTTGAGTAACCTGACCAAGGTCACAGAGCTTGAGTGGTGACCTGGGAATTTCCACATGCCAGTTCATCCGCGACCTTGCACCCTGAACTTGAGTGCTCAGAGGTGGGAGAGTCTGAAGCTTCTGTCCACAGACGTTTTCAGTTGTCACTTGTTTTGTTGAAGTATTTTTTTTTTTCTAAATGCCCCTAGCCTGCGGGGTCAGGGCCACTCTCTAGCGTAAGAACAAGATATGTTAGGACCCCTGGGTGGCTCAGTCGGTTAAGCGTCTGCCTTCAGCTCAGGTCATGATCCCAGGGCCCTGGGATCGAGCCCCGCATCGGGCTCCCTGCTCAGCGGGGAATCTGCTTCTCCCTGTCCCTCTGCCTGCCGCTCTCCCCCTGCTTGTGCTCGTTCACTCTCTGTGTCAAATGAGTAAACAAAATCTTTAAAAAAAAAAAAAAAGATATGCATACATAAGGCACTAACTTAGATGGCTCAAGGACAAAATTCAGTGTTAGTAATAAGAGCCACAAAGTAGAGAGGGGGAAGATACATGAATCAATGATCATTACTGATGCCGGGTGATGGGTATACATGAGGTTCTTCCTACTCTTTTCTACTGTAGGCTACGTATGAAAATTTTTACCATAAACGGTTTAAAAATGACTTTGACTAATTGACAGTTTATGAAGTTTATTAAGTCATTTCCTGTCATTTTTTTCCCCAGGTCATACTTTTACACAGTTCAAAATTCAAAACGTTATAGAGGGTACACACCACACAGTCCCACTCCTCGTTATCCTTCTAATGTTTCTTTGTGTAAATATATAGAGATATTCTTATTTCTCCCCATTTCTTTCACAAAAGGTGACATACACATTCTATTTCACCCTGTTGTATTCATTTAACCACATAGCCTGGAGATTTTTTCCTTCACATCAGTGTATAGCGGGCTTTTCATTCTCCATGACAGCTGGTGGCTCTCCCATAATGCAGAGAGGCCATCTACCATATTTAACTGGGACACCTACGTTGTTTCCAATCTCCTGCAACCAGAAACAGTGCTCCAATAAATAAGCTTATAATGTGTATCCCTGCCTACTGCACATTTTGGGTGTACTAAGCATTTCTCACATTTACGTACTTATTTTAACAACCATATCAGCAGTTGTTTCATGGGACATGAAGCTTACACAATTTGGGAAACCCTCTGTAATACAGACAATACAAAATTAAAAATACAAAGTTAGGTATGAATATGCCTATTTCTTTAAAATTAAAAATTCATACCGATTCACTGGAGTCCTAAGGATTAATAAGTTCCTTTCTTCTGAAATAGCTTTAGACAACTTAACAAAAATGCCTACACAGAAATACCTCCTGATTGCAGGTTGGCTTCTCCTCTCCACCTAGAACATTCTGCAACTCCCAGAAATACAAAGCACTTACAGGACCCTGAATCTTAAGTTTCAACAGGCGCACAGGATATCTGTGTCTTCTCGAATGATAGGCAGTATCAATCATCACCATGTCACAGATGGGGAAACTGAGGCTTGGAGATGCAACAACCTGCCCCACTCTGCTCCATGGGTCTGAAACCAGGCCTGTCTGATGCCGAGGCTCCACGTTTAACTGATACACAGAGTGCCTCCACAGTGGTCTCAAGCCAATGACTGTATGTGACTCAATGTATCTCTTCAATGAGAGGAATAATAAAGGATAACGCTTTCATTATTAGTTTTCCAGGGAAGAAACATTTGATTTGAAATATATTCTGTTTCCCTTCTATATTTTTAAAACATCTTTTCTCCCCTTTAAAAGGAAATAAATAAAAGTCCCCTTGAATGTACCCAACTAAACACAGAGCCCAAGGTCAGCACTGTGCCTGTCAGACAGACCACGCATCACCTGACAGGTTCTCTGGCACCTAGAGAGGAACAAACAATGAATCAAAGAGATGACTCAAGGCTTATCCTTTGTGTTGGGGGTGTGTTTGTTTTCTGCTGAGCTCTCGCATTTCCAATAATACCCCAGATCCTCGCATTTGTCCAGAAACAAAACTAGAACCAAGGAGTGTGATCAACTCTGCTCTAAGAACTTGATATGCAAAGACCCTAAACCCTAAATACTGGAAGAGAGGCCTCTTCCACTCCAACTCAGAAAGCAGCATACCAGGCTAATGAAAGATTTGGGGCGAGCTTTGGTGCTCTTCCACAACGGGAGCCCCATGAACGATTCGCGCCAAGGATGCTGCCAGGACATGCTGTTAGTAACATTCAGTGCCTGGAAGCCAGAGGGCTGAGCGCCCTGCGGTGACGGGGACAGTGCAGGTCAAGGAAGGACCGTCCAGTCAAAAATGCAAAAAGCAGAGATGGCTGAGAGGAGGGTGGAGGCAGGCCTTCCTGGACATGGAGTCAATATAGACACGGCTACATTTTATCCCAGGCCTTTCCAGTTACTCTCGGCACAATAACAAAATGACAAGTTCTGCACGCAGAGGCCACCTGTCTGGTGCATTCCCTCTACAGACATCCACTGCACCTGCAGGCCAACTGCCATCAACAGCCAGGCATGGGCACACGGGTGGGTGTAAGACCAAAATAACCCAGAGACTTTAAGGGTTGACAATGCTTTCAGCCACCTCTTCAGAAATCCAGGGGCTTAAATTAATAGAAGGGTACAGTGTTTTAAACTTTCAAACTCGTCAGAAAAACTCTCAAAAGTGCTTTTCTTGCAGTCACGTAAATACCACCTTTATTCAACCTGAAAGGTAGAAAAAATAAAATTGAAGGTAAAATTGTCTTTATCAAAAGGCTATGTTCTGAAATAGCACTGTTTATTGGATGATCTAACAAAAATTTATCAAAATAATAGGAAAAAAAGGGGGGTGCCTGGGTGGCTCAGTTGGTAAAGCGTCCAACTCTTGGTTTCAGCTCAGGTCACGATCTCACGCTCAGCGGGGAGTCTGCTTGAGTTTCTCTCTTCCTCTCCCTCTGCCCCTCCCTACCACTTACTCTCTCTCTCTCTCAAATAAATCTTAAAAAATAATAATAATAGGAAAAACATTCTGCCTCAGACCCAAACATTCTAGAACAGGGCAGCCCAGATACATTCTTAAAACAGATTACAGGCATTCATTCATTCATTCGTTCGTTCATTTATTCATTCACTCATTATTTATTTGGAATGATAATGAATGATATCCCTTGAAATGATAATAATGATATTCCTTGAAACTGTAACATTTCTGTCAAAAGAATTTTTATTTTTATCAGCTTTACCTGCTATTTGTACTGAACCATCCTCACCCAGAAGAATATTACCAGCTTTCAAATCCCTGTTAGGAAAAAAAAAATGGAGAATAAATTATGGAATACAGACATTATATTGCATTAATTCACTCAGAGAGATTTAAAAACACATCACATAATGTAGCTATTTAACATAATTAACATTTTATAAATATGAAAATTATATCACAGATTTTTTAAGTTATAGGGATAAGTTGTGATTTTATATAGCTTGCTCCTGGGAGATGGTTAGGATTTTAGTAACAAATAGTTTATATGGAATCATTATCCAAATTGAATTAAATCAGTAGTGAGTACATTCTTTATGTTATAGAGTTAGAGGCTGTCCATTGACTCACCATACTATCATTTTATCGAGAATTAAAGCTGAAAATTCTATGTAAAGCTGTTCTACTTCCACTCAAATGTGTCTGGGGTGCAACTCCAAATTAATCCCGGTGGCTTCTTAAACAATGGATTGGATCAGCCTCTCCTCTGGGGAGATGCTGACTATAAATACTAATTACAACATTCTATAATATATTTCTTCACCATATAGAAGTCTTAACTCTTCAAAAGAAAAATGACAATTTACAAGTTTGATATCTAAGGTAATATTTTTTTTCTAACTACTGAAACACATGGCAAATATCCTTAAATATATAGGCCACGTAGAGCTCAAGGCAGGGGAATTACAATGTGAGTATTACTAATAAATGGCTATTTACTTGCAGCTATTCCTTTTTTTTAAAAAAAAGATTTTATTTATTTATTGGACAGAGAGAGAGAGAGCACAAGCAGGCATCGTGGCAGGCAGATGGAGAGGGAGAAGCAGGCTCTCCGCTGAGCAGGGAGCCGGACGTGGGGCTCAATCCCAGGACCCTGGGATCATGACCTGAGCCGAAGGCAGACGCTTAATCGACTGAGCCACCCAGGCGCCCCTACTTGCAGCTATTCCTAAGGGCCCAAGTAACACGAACCCTTTTGAAACATCAAACACTCATATTTTAGGCTGTTTGGCTACTGAAAGAATGAGCATTTCATGTCACAAAAGAAGATGAAATTAGTTCCCCCTTTCTTCACACCACCATGCCAAAAGCAATGAACATATTACAATGTCTGGACCAGTTCTGCCTACATTAGAAAGGCAGAGATGCTATCCTGCTCAACTGAGCCTACTTCAAGAGGAGCATGTTAACTGATTTTTTTTAATGAGCTCACTCGGTACTTTTTATGTTCTGCTTCTATTTCAGTGAGAGCAGATAAGCCAGTCCTGCGGGTACTAATATATTTCAGCCGAACGTATTCACTTGCTTCTTTCTTAAGTACTTTCTCCACATCTATTCGGCCTAGCTCTGAAATAATGTTGATGCCTACCTTGGTTTCAGCTCAGCAACACATGTTCCCTTAATATTCTTTACAAGCCGGAGCTAAAGATACAAATGGCTGAATTTAAATAACTTTGCAGAAATCCTACCTGTGAATCTGACCATTTCTGTGCAGATAGTCTAAGCCTTCCAAAACCTCTTTAAGAATTGTTGCTATTATTGCCTCTTCCAGTACTCCATTCTTGTGTTCCCCTCGGTTGACGATGTATTTTATGATATCCAACATTGAACCTAGACAGAAGAAGGGAAAACTTTGTGTAAGCATCTTCGGTACCTTTCTAGGTTGGGCTCCGCTATTTAGAAAATTAAGTGGAAATGTCAAAATATGTTGGTTTATTTAACACAATCCCCCCCTCCAAGGCATACAGTTGCATGGCGGCACAGAACCAGAAACCCTATATCCAAGTCTGCGAGAGCACTTCCGGCATGAGAAGAATTCCGGGTCAGGGACCACAAGATTGTTCAGGGTCACCTCAGGGCTAATTCCTTTCTCCTACACATACACAACTGGTTACAGGCTCAAAACAGGGTTCAAAATGTTTGAAGTGAAAAACCAAAGGAGGAAGAGGCCAGGGAAACAGACAGCTGTGAACTGATGAGAGAGAGAAGCGCAGATCTTCCTGGACATCTAGAACACAGGTGGGAAGGAAGAAAAAAAAAGTATGTTGCCACTGGACCCCTGCTTATAACCAGAAGCTTCCTTTCTGTGACTCTCGGCAATCTTTATTTTCGTTCACTTGATGCATAATGCGCTGACTTCCATAATGAAATAAATACACAGTACTTTGTTACCATAAACAGATTAGTATCCTTGGCACTGTGAGTTCATGTTTCAACACATATTAATTAATATTCCAAACCTCCTGGTCATTTTAAAAGCCATAATTACCTGGGGGTTCAACATTTCTGAAGAGTTAACAAATGGCTTACCTCAGGATCTGAATCTGGCTCCAGGCTCTCTATGATTAACTGGGAGAATTGAGTTTCCCCATCAGGTATTACTATACCAGACTAGCTGCCTGCCCCTCATTAAAAGATTTAATGGGATAAAATATTATAAAAGAAAACAAATGCATATTTCCCCCCTCAGAGAAACATCTATTTATTCATTGGTTCTTAAATTTGTTAATAATTGAGAAAATGAGACTTCCAAAAATGTTTCATTTTTATCTTATAAGGATATACCCTACCAGGCATGTGTGCATTTCTGGCCTGCTGAAAGAAAAATGAGCAAGAGTCCACATCTGCCCAGGTCTCCCGGACCTGTAGAAACCCGTTTAAAATCTGTTCTTCTTACCTAAAGCCCAGGGAGACTGACGAAATTGGATTCTTTTAAAGAGACAATGACATTTTCTTTCAAGTCCTCAGGCAAAGGGATTGGGGATATTTTCGAGCTTATAAAAGGTTAACTGGGATCAAAATAAAGACAGGAAGTAAAATCCTCAGCCTGAGCTGAGTATTTGGGGCTGCCCAGGGTCCCAGGTCACCAGAATTTCTCAGTCTCCTCCGAGCTGGGGGAACCAAGCAAGAAGAGGCTCGGTGAAGGTCATCTTCCTGCCAAAGCACAGGTCTTCCAGAGCCCAGGGGCAGTCCCAACCCTCAAACACTGTAGTCTGGCTCCAGCAAGCTGCCTTTTTCTTTTTTCCCTCATTTCTTTCTTTTCATGTTTAATTAAAAACCAAAGTAGGCCCTCATGGAAACAATGACTAATAGGATTGACAAGACTGGGAACAGAACCGGACTCCGCTCTCCCAGGCTCCCCACTGAGACCTGCACAAGCAGACCCAAGGCAACTACGGCATATTTGTCCTCTCGGTTCTGGGCCTCTGCTGGATCCAAGAGTTTCTTCAAAAAAAAAAAGGAAAGAAATTAAGATTGCCCCCCCCCACCACCACCACGAGTCAGCCTTCACTGGAACTAGGTCTGCAGATTAAAATGGGCTCTACAATATAAATTCTGCGGTGCCAGTTTGGGCTTCATCCAGGCACCTCAAAATGTTCTCCTCTGCTCCTAAACCATACTTCATGTCTGGGAAAGATACAGAAGGAGTGAGAGATGCTGGGTGTTACAAAGAAAATCACTTGGGCTTTCTAAACTTCCATTTCCCTGTCTGTAAAATGAAGGTGATAATTCTTGCAGCATCTCGTAGCTTTTAAGTCAACAGGTCCCAGCACCACTTCTTTCCAGCACTAACAACTACTATGTAGGTGACCTTGGGCGAGCTGCCTAACTCTCCCAAGAGCTTCGGGGAACTTTCTGAAAAGCAGGGACGGTGACACCTGCCATTCAAAGATGCTGTCCAGATTCAAGTAAATTGCCTTGAACAGGATCTAGCCAGAGAGTAAGTGTTCCATAAAGTTAATGGTTCTCATTACCATTCTTTATCAAATAGTGATGGTAAAAGATTAAAAGGAAAAATATGGGAATGTGAAAGTGTCTTGTAAGGTAAACTATCAGTGGCTTTTGTAACTCTGGTGACCTGAGGCCAGAGGGAAAGCTCCTCTGCTTTTTCAAATGCAAACACAGGATGAAAATAGTGCCACTTCAGATCAACATGCAGAAAGCTCTTCTCCATTCAACTGAAGCAATATTTATTGAGCTCCCCCTGGGTGCCAGGTTCAGTAAATGAGAAGTACAGGAGACCGTGCTCTCCTCGGCAAGTCGGAATCTAATCTAAATCTGCCCTGTCTGACACCGCAGCCGCAGGCCGGGCCATCTGCAGTTATTTAAATAGAAGCTGATGAAAATTGAATAGAAATTCAGTGCCTCAGGAACACGGGCCACAAGTCAAGTATTCAAGGGCCACATGTGCCTAGTAGAAACTGGAGCGCACAGCTCTAGAACATGTCCATCATCACAGAACTCTGAACGAACAGCACTGGAAGAATTCATTATACTGCGATGTAGTAAGGACTCGAATAATATTAAAAACAAAGAGTTTAAAGAGGAAGGACTGGTTAATTTTTCTGATGAGCATGGGGGAGGCTGCAGAGAGCATGTGCGGTGTTCGGACTTGAGCACCTGGAGAAGGAAGGACAGACCTCTTGGGCTGAGGAGCCACGCAGGTGAGGTGTAGGAGGACAGAGAGAGCACAGAAGATACTTAGGGAGCCTCCCCTCCACCGAGAAGGCACAGACAGTCGAGGCAGTGCAATCCAGGCTTTATTCTCTAGGTAAATAATAAACAAGCAAAACTTTTAAATACAAAAGGGAGGGGACCAAATTTAAAGTCTTAGTCAATACGCTGGCTCACACAAAAGGAAAAAAAACAACAACAACAAGCAAATAACAAAACCTACTTACCTCCACTTAGTAATTTCATGACCAGCCAAAGTTCATCTTTTACCACAAAAGAGGTGTAATAGGTCACTACATTGGGATGGCTGCACTGACTCATGGCTTGAATTTCCTTCTATAAAAAACAAAACAAAACAAAACATGACATAGTACCCTGGGGCAAAAAATCAGGAAACAAAACAGAAGGGAAACCACAACTGAGTACCCAGGCACCTTTCTTACTTAAAAGCCTACCTGGGGGCGCTGCCTAAACCTTGAGTTCAATGAAGCTACATGAGAACTAATTCACCCTCATCATCAACGTGCTAGACTTGAGAAAGGCCTCTCCCGAGACCAGAGAGCCCTGTGGACCTGAAGGACAGGACAGAGAAACTTCAGATGGGCCTATCACCCAGATCACCCCCTACTCTGCAGCAGAGAGCCCTGCCACACAGGACTGAGGGCCTCCTACCTGCACCGAAGGCCTGGACGGAGAGAGAAAAGACTGAGTGAGTCCTCAGAGGACGGGGTCCCACGGCCAGCCTCAACTCCGGTGGGCCTTAGCTCCTCCCTCGTCCAAAACTGTTTGTCTCTTAGGACTGCTGTGATGTTATAAATGAGCAAATACATATGAAAACACAAGAGCGTAATTTCCCAAAGTCTATTTCATGGTAGATAGTCCATGAAGAAAAAAAAAGGGAGAGAGGCAGGCAAAGTGATAAGCTTGGGGAACATCATGCCCTACATCTCCCTCTAACAGGGTCACAGGGAATATTAGTACTGTCAAAGGCTCTGAGAAGTCCCGCAGTAGATAAACTGTCATAGTTGAATCCATATTAACAATGCAATTAAATAATGCTTTGCGTGTCACAGTGCAGGAAACACTACTACTGAGGAGAAATAACTTTCATACAGAGACATAAAACAATAAAGTTCTGAAATCAAACAATAAGTTACTTCAATAAACCACATTTTCCTGCAATACTCAAGTTCCCCTTGGTTTTGATGTGTCACTTTAAGTTATTGCCAGATTTCTCCTATAAAGCTTCAGTCAAATGCTAACCCTCAATTAAAGGCACCAGACCAGCATAACTGGCTTTCAAGGTGCTGTCCAAAAGCCACAAAAAATAACATAAGTCACCAAAGAAACCTTATTTATGCTATTATGTATTTATGATGAAAGAAAAGTGTATTTATGCATCTTACAAATATTTTCAATAATAATGAGCATCTAGTTAACTTTGAATTAACTGCTAATTTCCTGGCCAGAATATTCCAATTGGAGCTGCAAATTTGCATATCCAGTCCCACTTGATCCTCCAATTGCTAAGACCCTATATGTCAGATAACTTGGCCAAAATACCATGACATATATAAACATATATACTAAGGTTTGTGTATGTGTTACAAGTACCTTTTACCAAGGATAAATATAGAAGAAAATCACTATTTTTTCCATCTTCATTATATAGCAATACTTTCCCTTCATCCTTCCCCTCAACCATTTAACTAATTACAGGTCTTCTAAATCTGACACTTTTCAAGTCGGCTACTCCTGTCCTTTGAACAAGATCTGAAACCCGAGGTCCAGTTTCCACCTGTTTCAAGTGTTAGGTTTTAATACCACAAGACGCCTCTGAAGGAGAAATGGAACACTGCCCGGACCAGTCCTATCTCAAGTCACCAGCAGCTGCTCACTGTGGGAATGGATGGCCCACTTGGGAGGCCTGCAGAATTAGGTAGGGGCCTCTCTACACAGATGCCCCCCTTGCACACAGAAAGGAGAATAATGTTTCTTGAAAGTATGGGTGCTCTACATTCTCACCATTTTACATCCAATGCAAATGAATGCTTGTCTAGCTTTCGAACTCCAAACTTTTAAATCATTAATCAAAATGAACAATAAATAACCAATGAATAACCAATGCCTACATGAAAGGAAATTCTTCTGCACGGAAGCAAAATTGGGCCAGAGTCTGGAAAAACACGTTTTCTCATGCTTTCCATGTAGATGACTGGTATCACTTCCTACCCAGATTATCAGGTTCTCCAACATTGTAGTGACAAACTGTGTGTGTGGTGGGGAGGGGGGGTGCACATGTGCATGCGTGGGAGCATTGGTGTGTGGGGTGAGAGAGGGGAAAAAGGGGAACGGGGGGAGATGGATAGAGGGCGGGAGAAAGGGAAAAAAAACTCTTTTAATTAACCTAGGGAGAAACTCTTTTTTTTTTTTAAAGATTTTATTAATTTTTTTGACAGAGAGAGACAGCGAGAGAGGGAACACAAGCAGGGGGAGTGGGAGAGGGAGAAGCAGGCTTCCCGCGGAGCAGGGAGCCTGATGTGGGGCTCGATCCCAGGACCCTGGGATCATGACCTGAGCCGAAGGCAGACGCTTAATGACTGAGCCACCCAGGCGCCCCAGGGAGAAACTCTTTTAAATAACCTGTGGATATAACTTATCAAATTCTAATACTTCCAAATTTGGGGTCTAAGAGGTACCAGCTGGACATTTTAAAGGTCCTAAGGATTTAAAAGAAAAAAGGTGGGGAACACAGGGGCGCCTGGGTGGCTCAGTCGGTTAAGCGGCTGCCTTCGGCTCAGGTCATGATCTCAGGGTCCTGGGATCGAGCCCGGGGTCAGCTCCCTCCTCAGTGGGGAGTCTGCTTCTCCCTCTGCCCCTCCCCCTGCTCGTGCTTGCATTCTCTCTCTCTCTCTCTCTCAAATAAATAAAATCTTTTTAAAAAGGAGCTGGGGGACATAGCTACTGCCCCTACTAATGCACCCCAAGGAGCAACATAAGGGCAGATAGAAGAAGAGATGGGAAACCTCAGAGCGGACTTGCAAAGGTCTGACCACCCTTAACCTGCACTCTCCTTCCATGCAGCCTCGCTGTCCTTCTTCACCGCTTGGCTAGGGGGGTCCATACCCCAAATCTTACACCAGCCAATTTCCTGCACAAGCCTTTCCATGCAGGTAGAGCCTCTAATGCTCAATGACATGATGGAACCTGCCTTAGGGAGAAACCCCAGCCACTCTGCCTCAGCGTATGACCTGTGCTATCACCGAACCCCCGTGATAAATAGTATTTCCACAAATAGTGTAGACATGCACTTAAAGAAGAAGGAATGAGTTGTTCTACCTGCCTATCCAACCCTTATTTCGGTTTATACAGAAGCCTTTTGTTTAGCTGCCTTCTAGAGAGATGCAAATTTTTACATGTATATATTTATATTTCCACTATGGTTTGAATGTTTGTGCCCCTGCAAAATTTGTAAGCTGATGGTATTAGGAATTGGGGCGGCCTTTGAGAGGTGACTGAGTCTTGAGGATGGAGCCCTCATGAATGATATTTGTGCCATGATAAAAGAGACCCCAAAGAGCGAGCTTGCCCCTTCTGCCACATGAAGAAGCAGGGAGAAGTCTATACTTGGAAGAAGGCCCCCACCTGACCATGCCAGCACCCTGATCTTGGGCTTCCAGCCTCCAGAACTGTGAGAAATACATTTCTGTTGTTTAAAAGCCATCGAATCTACGGAATTTTTCTTATAACAGCCTGAACTGATTAAGAAAATTGCATACTATTTTTAAATTTTATATTTTGAAAATAGAAATATTTTGTGAATCAAATGTCCTTTCCACAGAACTCTGTTCTCCATTTCTTTTCTTTTCTTTTTTTTTAAGATTTTATTTATTTATTTGCTAGAGAGAGAGTGAGAGTACAAGCAGAGGGAGTGGCAGGCAGAGGGAGAAGCAGGCTCCCCGCCAAGCAAGGAGCCCGGGGATCGGGACTCGATCCCAGGACCCTGGGATCATGACCTGAGCCGAAGGCAGACGCTTAACCGACTGAGCCATCCAGGCGTCCCTCTCCATTTCTTTTCAAAACAATGATGATAGCTGCTATTTGAATCCTTCCATCAGCTATATTATCCAAGCTTTTCCCAAAACCTTAACTTCACTCACAGGATAGGCAAAGCCAATTATTCCCAAACATATTCATTTCTTCCTATCCCTAAAACGGACAAAAGTGTTGCCCAAAGATGAATAAATGGGTATGATTAAAAAAAAAAAAAAAGATTTATCCAATTCTCCCTACAGAATGAATGGGTTCTAATTCTCTATTCCCTTAACTAGGACACATTCCACAGATGCGTGATTTGGAGCAATGCTTCTCAAACTTGACTGTGTATGCTGATCACTTGGGGACGGTATGAAAATGCAGATTCTGACCCAGTCAGTCTGGGGTGGGGCCTGAGATTCTGCATTTCTATCAGGCTTCCAAATGATGCCGACCCTTTAGGTCCAAAAACCAGAATCTGAGTGGCCAAGTGGTAGAAGGCCGCCGGAGAGGCACTTGGGTGGAGGGCGCCTGAAAGGAAGTAGTTCCATCGGCGGCCGTGAAGGTGATGGGGTCACAGCCGGAGGCGGGGCGTGGGGGGGCTAAGCCCAGAGGCACCGCCTAGCTGTGTGTGACGGAAGAAAGGGGTAAGAAGCAAAGACAGAAAAAAAGAGAGACTATTATTAAAGCGGTTTGAATTTCACAACTACGGGAAGGGGTAAAAAATTCAAAGGGAGAGAAAGACGTGAGGTCAAAGTCAGAAGAACTTAACAGAACTCTGAAGTCCAGGCAACACATTGGCCAAAACTATAGTCAAGGAAGAGAACACAGTCACTCCCTTGGAAGTCTAGTGGAGTAAGACAGACATGTCATCAAGTGCCAAACCAAGCTAGGACACAAGATTTAATCTTGCCCGTGGATTGAAGAGCTGGATCTGCTCATGCGGCTTCATCTGAAACACATCACCAATGAAATTTCACAGGAGTGGGAAAACGGGCCTAAAATGGGATAGCAAGAAAAAGTCCTTCCCATCTGCTAGAATTCAAGCGGCAGCCACATCAGCATCCCTCTGCTGGGAGCAAAGTGGGCGGGAGACAGATTGAGCAGGGACCCCCGCCCACTGCTGCTGGACCAGCCCAGCCAAATCTGCCCGACCGGGGCCTGACGTAGGCCCCTGGTGTGGGATAGTCCAGGTTTGGTGGGGGACACAAAAAACACAGAGTATCCTACCACAGAATATCCTGGAAATAGGATTGCTTGGGAGGAAAAAAAAAACTACCAAAAAAACCAAAAACTGAAAA